GATTTATTAACATTCTCAAATCCATGAACCTATGAAATAACAGAGCTTGTATTGGAACTCAGGAAATATGGAGACCCTGCTAAACTGCCTTCCACAGGAAAAAAAAAAGAAAGAAAGAAAGAAAGAAGAATAGAATCTGATGAATGAATGACCTAACTTTAATTCTTCAATCATGTGGCAATGGTAGTGAATATGTATTAAGTTTAGCATTCACTTTGGGGACTTGCTTTCTTTCTTATGTGAGAATGTACTGGCTATCATTGATCATTCTTGTAGATTCTCACTAAAAGTTGACCTTGAAACAGCGAACATTTACAGGGCCCCAAACTCCAAACCTTTAAAAAAAAAAATTATTTCGTAATAAGTTGCAGACACTTTGACAGGAAGATGTCATTTACCTAGTAACAAGTAGAAAAAACTAGCCTTTAGGTAGAAAAAAAGCCTTGACACAGGTACGAATATATTTTTAAACCAAAACTATGACTATCATACTCGGAATTTAACTATTCTGTGTGTGAAAATACAAATCTGTCTGGTTGGTGAAGATGCCTGAGAAAACTATCAAACCCACTTGAGAAAGGGAACCTAAGTTTCCCAGAGTTTTATTTTCCTGAAACTCGCAGCAATGCAATATTTCTGTATTGTGGTCTTTTACCGTCCTGCTCCTTGCTTCCTTGCTGCCTATCTTTTGACCTTTCTTCAACTTGTCACCAGCAATTCCAAAATGATTACTTTTTCCATCCTCTCTGTCCTACCCTGCTTTTTCCCAAGATCGGTTTCCATCTTGCCCTCTTTTTCAGAACCCCTTGCTCCAGATGTGCCTCTCTCCCTTCACTCATTCTGAAATTTCCCAGTTTCCTGGGCCCAATTCTGGCTGCAGAGCCCTTTCCATCCCTCCCTCCAGCTATCCAATGGCCTCGTCCAGTTCCAAACGCCTCCCTTCATGGGTCCAAAGTCCACCCCTCAATGTCTCTTCTCAGAATGTTCTCTCCCAGCCTTTCCTGATACCCGCTGCCACTGTGACCAGACTGTTCTGTTTTCTAGGATACCTCCAGCTTTCCCTAAAGCCTACTCTGTACTTAGAGCCATCCACCAAGTTCCTTCTACTCACGGTCGAGATTTCTGAGCACGAGTGAGTCTTCTAAGTTTCATCGTAACTTGGGTAAATGGATTTTTGATCTCATAGCAGGTTGTTTTACCCCAAAATTGTCCTCAATGTGGAATGCCCCTAGTAGTCTTGAGAAGTTTTTAAAAATGCATCGCCCCTAGAGATTTGGATTTGATTGGTTTGTGTGGGACATGAGCACTGCGATGCTTTAACAGCTTCCAAGGGAGGTCTAATGTGTGTCTAGGTTTGAGAATCATACAAATTCCTTCAACCTACTTATGTTCTTCTTACCTGGCTCTTCTTTAAAGATGTTAGAGTTCCCCTTGAAATTTGACAATGCAGTAGCCCACCCTTAGGGAGCCTTATACCCTCTATTCACAGCCTTAGTTCGTGCCCAAAACAACAGGAACAGAATGTGACGTCAGAGCTTTCCAAGGAAGTTTTGGGGAAAGTTGGCAATGCGTTTGGGCCTGGTAGGCTGCCAAAGAAGATTTAATAAAAGAAGCTAGAAGGGCCTAGGCTGAAAAAATTCCAGGGTGATCATACAGTTATTTATATCTATTGATGAACTATTAACTGTTCTGAAAACATTGCTGATTAATTAACCCTGTACATAAAACTCCGGCTTCTGCTCCATTTTTCTTCATAGCTTTGATTAGTGAAGACTATAGCTAGCTTTTGAAGTCTTCCAGTCTGAAGTGTCATTTTACAGATGATGAGACTGAGGCCAAAGGAGATGTAATTTAACAGAAGTTCCACAGCTAAGTAGGATAGGAGGGAGGCAGAAAACCCCATCATCTTTAGGAGAGTCCAAAGTTCCTTCAGACACGCTCACTTCTGACCTGTTTAGTGGGCTGCTTTCAAAATGCCGATAATTGCCAATGTGCAAACTGGCAGTTTGGTGAATGACCAAGAGAAATTGGATTTTATAAAAAAAACAGTGCTACAGGTAAGTAATTGGTGATTCATTATTAATCTCAAAAAACATGGAAAATAAATGGTGAAAACAACTTTATATCTTTAAGCTTCTCTATAACAGCATATACATTACCTCACAGAGGTATCAGTTTTGAAAGACAGTATAGAATTAGTGCTTAGTTCTGGATCTGGCAAATGATAAGTGTGCAATAAATGGTCATAGTTATTATTAGTGGGAGAGGTTTTGGAAAGTCAGCATGCTATAAAACAAAGACACAAATGAAGTCCCTACGGTTTCCTTTTCGCAAATTACAGCTATTGCATTGATTAGGGACTCAGTTTTTCTTTTTGATTTGAATGTACATTCATGTTGTTCTTTTCTTCCATTAAAAAGTTAATCTCTCACTTTTAATTCTGAAGTTCATTCCTTAGTAACCAGTGCCAACCAAGTTGGTTTACTTAGCCACATTTTATCTGAGAAATTGGAAGGACAAAACAATCAGATAAGACAGGTTACAAGGGTTTGCTTGTATATTTATTTAAAAGGTCTAGAAGAAATCAAGAATTGACTTAATCAAAAATCAGTGAAAACTGGACATTTATACTGGTCAATGAGTGCATTTCCCACCAATGTTACTTGTCTCAGTAAGTAATTTGAGAAATGTGAACAGTTCAATTGTCTTTTAAGGGAGAGAAAGTTTTGTATTCTCTCTATAGTTATTATAAAATGTAATAACTAACAAAAATATTCTGCATGTATATAAAACATTTTGTGTGTGTGTCGGGGGGTGGGGGGGTAGGACTCTTTTTGTTGCAAGTAACAGAAACTAGTTCTAGCTAGTTTAGCAGGAAAAAAATTCCATCTAAGAACAAGATTTCCTGAAGATCCTAGAAGCAATGAATGCAAGATCGTGAGGCCTCTCTCTCTCTTTTATTTCATTTCTTTTCTATTACATTTATTTTTGAGACCTGTTTTCACAGTTTCACAGGTCTTCTTGGTAGATTGAAAGGTCCCATGTCATATCTTCAAAGTTAATTTTATGGATCTAGCTATCCAAAGAGAGGGTGATCTTTCACATTCCCAATTCGATATTCCTCAAGAAGGCTTATCTTGGGTCAGTGGCCCATCCTTGGATTGGTCACCTGTGACTACATGGGCAGATTATGGAGCAGAAGGACACCTTCAGAAAGTCACCTTTACAAGCAGGCTGGAAAATCCAAGGATAGGTTAGGCAGACAACCAATTAGCTATCCACTAAATGGCTTTTAATCCACCAAGTATTTTAAATAATGATTTAATCTAATCCTCAAACAATGACAGACCACTCTGCACTCATTTCTCTATAGCATTTTCTACTTTGTAGTCCTATTTCTGTTTATCTAATTCCTCATTAGTCTGTGAAATTTTGTTTTGTATTTTTAATGCCTGACATCGAGGGGTTCAATAAATATTTGTTGAAAGGCTATATGACTAATTCTGTCAGGTAGCATACTTACATGAGAAAACTGGGATGCACTTAGATTAAATAACCGGATGAAGATCTCCCAATCAATAAGCATGAAATCAGCTTCGGCAGCCTCAATCTCTTTCCCAACCACCAACCTGCTTCCTACATTGAGTTGTCCTCTTCTTCTGTCTATCATGTAACCATCCCAAAGAATTTGGTCTGGTGGTTAGAATTGTGAAAAGAATAGAATTAGAATAAAGGTGTAATGCATTTACAAGAATTTGGTTTTGCCCTCTTGGTACATCAAGTAAGAATAACTTTCAACTGATTGCAAAGAATCTGTGCTCTTCTTCTAAATGTTTAAAGGGAAGAAGACCACTTAGGCTATGGTTAGAATGGCAAAAATGAGGTTTAAATTCTTCTATTTTAGGTATTTCATTCCAGAAAATGATTTTCGACATGGTAGTCACTCTCGAAGAGGTGACCACTTCTCTCATAATTTTGGTGATGATTTTTGTGTTTGTGAAAGCACTCAGGAGCAAGAGGAGAAAGCAAGTGTCTCTTCCTGGCCCCTGGTCCTTCCCTATCATAGGAAATCTTCTTCAGCTTGGAGACCATCCTTACCTTACGTTCATGGAGATGAAGAAGAAATATGGAGATGTCTTTCTCATTAAACTTGGCATGGTGCCTGTCGTGGTAGTGAATGGAATGGAAATGGTGAAGCAAGTACTACTCAAGAATGGAGAGCATTTTGCAGGCAGACCTAACATGCATACATTTTCTTATATGGCAGACGGAAAGAGTTTTTCATTTTCAGTCAATTATGGAGAGAGTTGGAAGCTTCATAAGAAAATTGCCTCTAATGCTTTACAAACTTTTTCTAAAGCAGAGGCAAAATCCTCCACTTGCTCTTGCTTACTTGAGGAACATATCATCGAGGAAGTTTCTGAGATGATAAAAGTCTTTGCCGAGTTGACTTCCAAAAATGGCAGCTTTGACCCCAGAAATGCTATCACGTGTGCAGTGGCCAATGTTATCTGTTTCCTTTGCTTTGGCAAGAGATATGACCACAGTAATGAGGAGTTTCTTAGAATAGTTAAAACAAATGATGATTTACTCAAAGCCTCCAGTGCAGCTAATCCTGCTGATTTCATACCATGTTTCCGCTACCTTCCACTGAGGATTATAAATGCTCCTCGAGAGTTTTATCAAGTCGTGAATCAGTTCATTGCACTACAAGTACAAGATCATCTTACTACATATGATAAGGTAAGGATTTAAATTTATGCCAGGACAAGGGATTTGGTGAGAAGTAAAGGAACATAATGAGATGCATTGAGTAACCAGAACATTGTTTGTATTCTTCCTCGGTTCTTTTTACTTTAACTTTGTTATAATGACTTTTTCCCAAACTATTAGCAAAAGTGGGTTCTAGTCAGTGAGATTATAGGCAGTAGTATTTAGTTCTCATATAAGAACCTTAAGAAAAATTCTGAATTCTTTGAGATCTCAGAAGTTTCCTCAATGTGTGGATAAGGCACATACTAGAATTATGAATCTGTAATTGGCTGATGAATGATGACCAACATGCACGTAAGTTCCTTAAAGGAATGAACCAATAATTGTGTCTCTCATTTTACATCAGAAGCTATGAGATCTTAAAAGTATCGGCATATTTTTTTTCAGAAAGTGTTTTGAATAATTATAAAGAATATTGTATAGGAATCTTCTAATTTACTCTCTTTTCCTTCTTGAGTTCCTTTTCTATACAGAAACAAACTTTGAGATCATAACACATGTAGAAAGTCCTTCAGGTAGCAGAAGTGGATCTTTTTTTGTGAGGCTACTGAAATGTTTTTGGCCCAATTTGATGGTCCACAGAAGAGTTAAATTCTCTCATAAAATATGTATGTACTAGAAAGAATCCTAGTTCTTGGGGGCTAATTTGCTGAGATGATGGAATCAAGGGAAAAAAAAAAACGTGAAAAGGTGGATAATTGAGCAAATGAAGAGATGTAAGGAGTTAAGTCCCCTCCAATGAAAAAGAAGAGGCAGTAAACAATCTATTTCATAGTACCAGTCAGGAATTCTAGGTCAAATACAGCAAGTAAAAGAATTTGTAAAGTTTGTAAATTTTTCTTCTTACTCCCTAACCTACTTAAGTCTCATCTCTTTCTGCATGGTGATTACAGTAAAATTCATCTAATAGGTTTAGAAATCTCTTATTATATTCATTGTCCAGCAATTTCTTTATAATAAGTTAATCTCTAATTTTTTAAGTACACTTCTAGACACAGGTACTTTTTTATTGATCGAAAGAAATTTTAAGGAGAAAATTGAATGTGGTAACTTGGTTTTCTATTCTACACCCTCTCAAGATTAAGCATTACCATTGACAAGCAAAATAGCAAAACTGGTTGCAAGGTTTAAAATGATCTATATTCTTTATATTCCTAAACGAATTGAGTTCATTTCATGTTACATGGTGCATATGTGATGTGAAATGTAGGTAGGGATCAATAATCATACTAAGGTTTGTTTCCTCAGGACTGTATGCGAGACATTACTGATGCTCTGATTACAACATGCCAAAACAAATATGCTTCTACAAAAACAGCCACCTTAACTGATGATGAAATCATAAGCACTGTGAGTGACATCTTTGGAGCTGGTATGTGAGAATATTTGTCAATACGTAAGGCAAATAAAGATTAACTGCAAATTTTTGTTTTCTGCTGTTTACATGTTTGCAATATTTCTCTCTTTGAATATCGGCCATTTTGTATAGTTGATCTTACTCTGTATAAATAATTAGACACTCTGCCTTCTTCCCATGTCATTCAGAAAATTTTACTTTCATTTCAGTAGAGAATTATGGTCCCCAGTTCATGTGCATTAACATCATTGTTCATGTAATGCCTGACATTGGTTATTACTTTTTATCCTCACATCCCCCTCCCAGTTTCTTTCCCAACCCACTGACTTTTATTCTTAATCTGTTTAAAATGTTGTGTTTTGTTTGTTTGTTTTATGTATTCTTATAAAACAGATGTTATATTGTCATGTATTATCATATATTCTTATATTATCATGATCTTTAATTTTTTAATAACATCATTGTTATTTACATTTACTTCTAACTTTTTTTGTGAAGCCCTTTATTTTTTAGAACTAATGATGGTTGCCAGATGTATTTCTAATTTGCTGCTTCGGTCGGTTGCATAATCCTTCATGAATGCATCCCCTACATTTTATCCATCCGCTGTCTCTTGGGTGGACACCTGTATTGTTTGGAGTTCTCAGCCTGCAAAAATACCGAGAAATTGAATATCTTGATAATGCTAAGAAAACCATCTTTGTCCATCATTTTTCAATTAGAATCTTAAGCTAAGAGGCAGAGTCTCTGGGTCATCCAATAAAATGATTTTTGAGTTTTTCATATAGAATACCAAAATCTTAGTCAAAAAGACAATTTATATTCTGCTACCTTACTATTATCATTTTTAAATTTCATATTTTCTGATCCTTTTTACCTATAGAGTAATCTTACAGTTTCTAGAAGAAATTAAACTGCAAGAAGCAAATTCTCTTAATATAACAACACCACCAAAATACTGAAGTGTTTTAACAGATTTATTTTTGCTGAAATATTCTTCAAACTCAATTTTCCTTTCTCCTTTATACTACATTTATTGGCAATTGGATTCTTTTTTTTTTTATGTTCTATGCATTTGTATTCCTGAAATTTCCTTGCAAACAGAAGCATTTGTTTTATTTGTATTATTTTTCCTCAAATACACCTGCTCCCTCTCCCCACACACTGACATATATTTATTATTTTGATCATAATTTAAATTTTATGGATGCACTGGTTATTCATCATACAAATGTGATTATGCTATATTTAGCATTTCTTCTGCCAATTGTTTGATGCTAAATACAATTGTTAGAATTCGTAAGGACATTTTTTTTTAAGCCTGAACACCACTAATTACTAAAGACTGGGTGTGTGTAGGTGTGATTAACCAATCCATTGGACTTTATTTTCACCTTAATTTGATAATATATTTAAGAAATATGTAATACTGTCAAGACCCTGAAAAATCGACAAACATAAAATTATGGCAAATGATGAAAGTGAGTAGGATACAGATTAAAGCCACCAGATGTGTACAACACAGTTAAAAATGTTTGAATAAATATGTGCAAAACAGAGTATTCATGTATTACTGCTTTATTATGCATTTACTCGCTCAACAAACATATCTGAATTTGTATTTTGAATTCAAATACAGTGGTAAAGAAAATTAATAAGCCTCTCTAATAATATGTAATAGAATACTTTGTTAGAAGAAAACAGTGAGCTCTAGACCATATATTTTAGTGTATAAAATTTTCAAACACACTGGTTGTTTAAGCCTTGATATAAAAGCAAATTTATGATAATCAAAATATAAATCCTGTTATTTATCTAGATAGTCCTAGGTCTTGGATATAATGTTCATGGCTCTATAATGTGCAAAATCAGTGGTTTTTATGCAGTATTCATAGTTTGCTCTTTTCTCTTTTCCTAGAGAATAGAGTCCATATATTATGAATAGAAGTCTATATTTTTGCATCATCCTGTAGTCTACTATGATCAATAACTTCATTTTAAGAACTTAGTTTTAGGATAATTTCTTTCAATATAAAGTCGAGGTAGAAATTTTATGACCTGGAAACTGTAGAAGCTACTGGCTTACTCTAAGGGATTGACCTGTTCAAAAGATGTAAAAACTAGGTCTTCAGAAGAGACATTTGGAAAGGAGTTTCCTCTGCTCTATAGCTATATTTGGATGTATTTCTTGCACATGTTGTGATGCAAGTAGTTTAGAGAACAAACAAATAATTAGGTCTCAATGCTCTGGAGCCACAGACTCAAATTCTGGTACTAGCTTTATCTTTTGTATGGTCTTGGTGAAATATTTAACCATCTCTGCACTTCAAGTTTCTCATCTCTAAAGCGGTACTAATTACAGCCCCAATCTCAATAACAATGCAATCACGGGATCAGTGTTTGCTATCATCATTGTTGATGTCATCATCATCATGAAAACCTGGAAAAAGACAATGATTTAAAAACTCACCTTTGCTACTAGATTTTCTAAGCTTTAGTTGAAAACACAAAAAACATTATTAATTTTGACGTTTTGTCATAGAGGTGAATTTACAATTAAAACATTCTATAAATTTTTTTAATGTATCATTTCTGAGTGTTAAGTTTTCAAGAACTGATCACATTTCTTAACGGAGTGTTAAAGTTACCCTTGAGAAAAGGATGACATGTGACATAGAATTTCCTGCTTTTATTTTCAATAATGAAAAACAGCTAGCCAATGTATAGATAATCTCAAAAGTGAAGATATTCCATTCAAAGGATGAATTTTACCATAAAAAGTACACTAAAAATTAGTGTTTAAGAAAATTAAATGTACTCAATCTTCCATTATGTGCTCATACAAACTTGCGGCTTTTGGATCTAGATAAGTCCAAGCTTAAGTTCTGATTCTGCCTCTTCTGATTTGAGTCACCTTGAACAAGGCTCATGATATTCTTGAGGCACAATTTTCTCTTCAGTGAAATGAGCACAATTATATATACCACATATAATGTAGATATAGAGATATAGATATATCGTCTGGGACAGAGTAAGCATTCAATAGTTACTTATGATTATAATTATTACTGCATAGATCATAACCATTATCTATTATTATTATTATTAGTTTCAAGTATACATTTATATAGTTTATAAAACTATCCTCCTAATCACTCTTTCTCTCCTCTCGCTCTCTACCTGGCCATTACATTAATGCTAACTTCATTCCCTAAGTCATGCCCTCCCATCCCCATGACCATCTATCAATTACTAATTTGTACTTCTTTAACCTTTCACCTCTTTCTCCAAGCCCCCTAAACCCCCTCCCCTCTGGCTGTCATCAGATTGTCCTTTATATTTGTGAGTGTGTTTTTGATTAGTTTGTTCTTTTTGTTCCTTAGATTCTGCATATAAGTGAAATCATATGGTATTTATCTTTTTCTATCTGACTTATTTCACTCAGCATAATAACCTCTAGGTACATCTACATCGTTGCAAATGGTAGGCTTTCATTTTTTTTAATGGCTGAGTATCATAGACATTATTATTATCATAACAGTGGTGTTTATTTTGTAGTGAAATATTTCTGTTTTTTCACTTGTGGTAACACTTATATTTTAAAAATTTTTTATTAAATTTTATTAAATTTTTTATTGTGGTTGCAAACATATAACATTAAATTTACTATCTTAAACATTTTTAACTGTACAGTTCAGTAGTATTATGTATATTCACATTGTCATGCAACAGATCTCTAGCATTTTTCATTTTGCAAAACTGAACTATATGCCCATTAAATATCAATTCTCTTCCTTCTTACTCCCAGCCTTTCACAACTACCTTTCTCCTTCTATTTCTATGATTTTTGACTACTTTAGATACAATATTATTCCTTTTGTGACTGGCTTGTTTTATTTAGCCTAATGTCCTCGAGGTTCATCCATGTTGTAGCAAGTGACAGGATCTCCTTTTTTAAAGGCCACATGATATCCCATTGCATGTATACATCACATGTTATTTATCCATTCATCCATGAATGAACGTATGGGTTGTTTTCACCTCTTATCTATTGTGGATAATGCTGCAATAAACATGAGTGTGCAAATATCTCTTTGAGAGCCTGTTTTTAATTCTTTTGTATATACTATACCCAGAAGTAAGAATTCTTGGATCATATAATAATTCTTTTTAAAATTGTTTGAGGAATCTCCATACTGTTTTCCATAGTGACTGCACTATATTTTACCTTCTAACCAGCAGTGCATAAGGATTCCGATTTCTCTACATCCTCACCAACATGTATTGTTTTCTGTTCTCTTAATAGTGGCTATCCTAATGAGTGAGAGGTTAAGCCTATAATCTGAAACAAACTTTAATGTACAATAATTATTTTAGTGTGATATTATTAATTTGTGGTTATATATAGATTCTTTCCCCTGGATTCTTAATATTCAAATATAAAGTGAATTCGGAATACCAATTTTGCTAATATTTTTTTCCATGACACTTTGTGTCTTATTTCTTTTTCAGGGGTTGAAACTGTATCAACATGTCTATATTGGAGCTTTCTTTATTTGATACACTATCCAGAAATTCAAGCCAAAATTCAAGAAGAAATTGGTAACATGCTTTCAGATGGAAAATCTAATTCTTATAATTGCTATTTTTCTTATTAAATAATTAAAAAAAAACCATTTTGTTTCAGATGAAAACATTGGGATGAAATCACCCCGACTTGAAGACAGAAAAATTTTACTCTATACAGAAGCTTTCATAAATGAAATATTCAGACATTCCTCCTTTGTTCCTTTTACTATTCCACATTGGTAAGCATATGATTCTCCTTTGAAACAGCAACCAATGGTTGGGTGAGGGGAATGAGGAATTAGAATACTTTCAATCCCTTAAAATCTGTATTATGTTACTATTATTTTAAATCTTATTTCATTTTATTTTGAAATCCTCTAGTAAAATTTTTACATAGAGCAAAGGCATCTTTTGTGAATGTTTTCCATAGCTAAACTATAATGCCATTAATTTTCATTTTATATGTTCTAATTATGGGGAGAGAAGGATAGAGAAGTTCCAAACAATGGATAATACAAGCATAACACATATTTGGCTACGAAATGTCATACATACTCTCTAAGTTCTTCTTATGAGCAGTCATAGCCACCTGCTGATGTAGCTTCATTTTCAGTAGCTTAGAGTTTTACTGGGCAATAGACTAAGGTAGCCAGTATTGCCACAAACAGATTATTGCACAGAGTATCCGTTTATAGATATTTGAAAGTTTATTGAGCCTAATACCATACTCTCCAACTCACAAATGCGTGTCAGCATAGATTAAGTGGATAAACTATGCTAAATATGAATATGGACAACCAAAGTTCTGGTGGCTTGAATTGTTTCCATTCCACACAACTTAATGATCATCCAACATAACATCATTTCACAGCTAGGAAATAACATCATAGAGTAGGTATGAGATTTGCCCAACATCTCACTGTGAGCAAGTCTGAATTCAGATTTTCTAGTTTCAATTCCATTGTTCCTTCTACCAAGTACTAAAAGATGTTACACTTTGTTTTCTAATCTGTTAATTAAAGCCAAAAATACATGGGGTACACCGAAGTGCTTTAAAATTTGCTTAATAGTTTCCTGATATAATTTGATATATCTACTCATGAGTAACTTTGTCATGGGAATATTAAGATAATTTTCTACTGAGATTTTAGCTCATTGCAAAACCTTAAATATATTAAGTGCTCAATATGTTTAACAAATACAAGAAAAAGAATAAATTACTAATTTGCTAATAGTTGGAAGATGTATCAATTAATGAAAGAACAAAGATTTATAAGGATGTCATATTATTACAGTTTTTAAAAGACATTAATAAAATAGTCTGTGAGTTATGGGAGGCAGTGTAGGGATGGGTTATTCGAATTGACAGGAGGTGCCATAATGCTGTATTTTGCTTTCCCAGCACCACAGCAGACACTACGCTGAATGGCTTTTTCATTCCCAGGAAAACTTGCATCTTTATTAACCTGTATCAAGTAAATCATGATGAGTAAGTCACAAAAATTATTTCTTGGGAGGAATTTGCTTAGTTGTTTGTTTACTATTTATTAATCGGGGAAAGATTTGCATTCTTCTTAACCAAACTTTGTTCCTTCTGTTTCTCCTGAAAGAAGTTGGTAAAGAAATTCAGTTTTCCCTCCACACCAATAATGAGAAGGGTGAGATCTTAATACAAATTCATTCAAGGCAAATCCAATTTCGAAAGTGGGCTCTCCAGAAGGGAGAAAGAGTAGTCAGGGGAATCGTTTCATAAACTATAAAAATGTCTAACCAATGTACTGTATATATGAAACTAATAATAAAATAAAATAGAGAAAAAAGTGGGCTCAGTGGGGGAGGCATGAGCCAAGGACTTCATGGGCTCACCGTTTACATGGATATTACCAGCTAACGCTTGAAAAGCAGCTAAAATAACCCCCCAGATATATAAGCCACCAAGTAGGGATTTTTCTTTCTTTTTGTTTGTTTGGTTTTCCTCTACCTCAGCACCTAGATCAGTGCTTGGTTCATAGTGGCCGCTCAATAAATATTTGTCAATAAAATGTAGCTAGAGACTGACTCATATCAGCTATAAAAGGAAGAGTTGAGATTAAGGTATCTCACACAGTGAAAGTGAGGATGATGGCATAAGTGATGGTGGTGGTGGGAATAACGATGATGGCAGCTAATATTTATAGATCCTAACATGTGTCAGGCAGAAAATCTTGAAGTATCTCCTTTGAGCCTCAACAATATCCCTCTGCAGTGGTGCTGTTACAATGCCAATTTTACAGATACAGAAACTTTCAGCCAGGTTAAACAAATGGATTCAGTCACATGTTTATCAGATAACAGAAGCAGGACCCACATGCAGGTGTGTATATTTTGTTTAATGGAAATCAGATGCTCCATGTGGTCAGGGCTTGATGTCTCCAATAAACTGGTAGAGATTGCATTCTCATGCACTCATCGGGCTATATATACAGTGTTCTGTACAGCTTTTTCATCTTCACTCAAGATCTCTGATGTCTCATGGCGCAGGCTGTTAGGGAGGTAGGTGATTATCCTGTGCACTTAACGGCACCTTCACAATCTCTGTAAGCAGCAAATGGTGGAATACACTGCATAGACTGTCCAGTGCAAAACTTATTGTCAGAAAGATTGACACCTCCATTCTTCACACCGAGTGATCATGCTGAATAAACAGAACATTTAAAAACCCACTATGAGAAAAATACAGTCAGTGTAAATTTAATGGCATTCAATCTCTGTTAGCACAATCCCAAGTATCCTAAGTGTTCTGGTGTGCTAAGAATGTGTGGTTATATTGAATATCAAGTAATGTTCAAATGAACCATATTAACACAGGTGCTTATAAAGAAATACAGTGTGTATAGAAGCATTTGTTTAAGCTGAATGAGTATGTGATTCAAGACTTGATATTATGGGGAAATTATTCATATCTAGTCTAAAACAGAGGCAACAAATTAAGCACCTACTGAGCAGTGGAAAATACTAAAAATGAGAGGATTGCACTTGTTGAAGCCGTCGGAATAGGTTATCTGCTGTATCTAATTCAGCTCAGTAAACTGAGGACAAGCAGGACATTGTCTCAATGTTGTCAGCTCTTTCAGTTATAGGAGAGAACTTGGAAATGCAAATTTTCACATGGAATCTTTGATGTTTAAATGTTTTCAACAATGAATTATTTTAAAAAGATTATGAAAGCAAAATAAAATTTATTGGAGGACTGAGCATGACTTGTAGGTCTCCAGGTTTATGACCACTGGTATAGAAAGAAAACAAATTTCCTCCTAGAGAAAGAATGACATCTATACGCAGAAGCCCAGTTCTTTGTAAAGTCAGGTGGGTCTCTGATGCATGGCTTAAGGTGTATTAGGAAACATGCTAGCATTAGTTGTTTTGACAAGCCAGATATGGTGCCTGAAACAAAAGGTGGAGGGAGATGAGAGAACCAGAGGCGAAATAATTGGGAACAGTGGGCAACCCCCTCAGTCAGAGCTACTTTCTGGTGACCTGCCTGCTCTCTGTAATGATATACAAAAGCATTTCCCTAAACACATTTGTAGCCGAATAAGAGGTGTGGC